TTTAAAAGCTTCAACTTTCCACATTCCATCAACAATCTCAACCATTCTGGTTTACTCATGCTGGATAAAGCTTCTTTTCTTTCATTTCTTCTTCTGGATAGTTTTACTAATCATGCCAGAGACGCCACAAAATTTCTCCGTACCTTCTTATGCACTTGGCGGAGGCGCATTCTGGTAGTTCTAGTGAAGCGCATGTTCGTTCTGAAACACCGCACGTCTTTTAGAAGCTTAAAAGAAAGGATCTCCGCAGATTTTCTGTTTAAGTGGAAGACAAGCAATTGGGAGATAAATGTCCTTGTGGTTTCCGATGGTACAGAAAGTCTTTCCACAATTTGAAGCACCCTTTGTAAAGAAGTGCCAGTCAACTTTTGCGAACTTTCTGAAGCGGGATGTGATTTCGAACAGCACAGCAGGGCTATTTGCCCAAGCTCTAAGTGACCACACGCCCCTTTGCCGGAAACTGTAAAAATAATATGTGTCCAGCGCCGCAGAGGACCTGATAGAGAGGTTGTAACGTCACTTTTTAGAGGTTATGATCGTGATAGGGCTGTCACTTACGGCGATTGCCATATGTGCTCCAAAAAATCTGCTGAGACCACTCTTTTGGCAGCCGGCGCAACACCTTTTTTAAGCATATTCAAACATTGAATCTGAATGTTAAAGGACATGGGTGGTTGGTCTTCTTCCTCGCGTGAAACCATGAATCCAAAAGCAATAATGCCAAATTCATGCCGATGGATGCGTGCTTCCAGGCAAACAAATACTGATTCGATCAAAGCGTCGCGGAAGTCTCAAGCTCTGAGAGTCTCTTTAAAGGCATTCAGAGCCCTTGAAGAAACCAGAACAGAAAAAAGTACAGAATGCCTTCACAGACATATGTTTGACACTACATCGGATAAACCTAAGTTTGGATCGCTTCTTGTGGAAAGTGTACGTTGAAAAAAAAAGAAAAAAAACACACACACACATAAAACAAAGATTTGATGGCATCGAGGCACATACGTATCAAACACTGATCTGCGCATTGCAGATAGAGCATGCAATGGCCCCAGGCTCGTCCACAACTGCTTCTAAGCCCCTCGTTCATGTCTATACACGTCGGATAATTTTTCTCTTTCTCGAAAGTTGTTGGTCCGCCCAGGTCATTGTGTATTTCGGTGTGCAGTTCAGAATTTCAGGTCTACTTTAAAAACCACCTCGCAGGATTCAACCTTCCATAATAGAAGTTACTTTCTGTTGCAAGGTCTTCTTTCAGAAGGAAGATAAATGTTCCAATCTCCCTTTGATGCGGTTGCCGTATGAACACTCCCCACTGCTCTGTATTCCTTCACAAAGCTGTCAGTCCTCCAGAAAAGCCGTACTCCGGACATCTCCGTAGACATCTCCGCGAGATATGCAGATTTGCTGGAATCCAGGCTAGTTTTCAATTCAGCCCCACGCCTTTGGCAAATTTACATTCAAAAAATAGAAGCCGTCAAAGTTCGCTTTGCAGCACTATTGACCTGGTCGAGGCCCACTCTGCCATCGGTTTTCAGAGAATTCTCAAATCAACCCCAATTGCAGCAATTGGTGTTTCTTTAGTCGGAGAGCTTTTTGCTTGAAAGGTCTGCTGACAAAGCGTCTGGAACTGGACTGGCGTCTTGCTTCACAGAGAGAGAAAGAGAGAGAGAGAGAGACCACCCCCGTTGAGACGTGATTCTGCTGCCAGTCCGGCTAATGCAAGCGAGGACGCTGTGCTGGGCATGTAGGTTGGCCGCATCTTGTCATTTGGAAGTGTTGCCGGCCTCTTGAGGTGTTGCGTTTTCCAGCTAGCCCCAGAGGCCGTATGGTCCCCACGAGGATGCGCCGTTCCACATTGTGCCCGCAAGACCGTAGTCTCAACGGCAACCGTTGCAAGACAAAACATGCGCCGTCCCAGGGAGCTGAAAGTTTGCCCAGGCTCAAACGTGTGGAGGTCACAGATGCCATGCTTGAAGTACTTTGCATCAAGCGTTTGATGCAAGAGGCAAAGTGGCCTTCAGCCCACATAAGTAACATGGGGCTAGCGGTGCCGGCAGAGGTGCGTCTGACAAGGAAACAAGACAATTCTCTCTGTGCGGATAAGTTTGCAAACCTTCCCGAAAGAAATTGAAAGCACTGAGCAAAAACGAATCAGGGCTTGATTTGGTAAGTTTCACATGCGACAGGTTTTTCCAGTTTATGTGGAAATTCTGCACTGCATGTGATTGACATTCCAAATCCTGACTGAGTTGACAAAATGTGTTTGTGCGCATTGAGCTCAACTTCAGGGGGCGTGTGTGGGAGCAGCCCAGCTCCAGCGGTGGTACCTGATAGGTACCATCCAGCAGGTTCATGGGGAATAGGCCAAATGAGCTACAGTCTAAACTCCTTTTATGGGGGATTATGTAGGGGATTATATAGGGGCCTACTATAGGGGCTATTAAGGGGGATACTAGGAGTTTAGACAAGGGCTCAAATAATGGAATTATGCATCTCATTGTGTGTTAACAAGGTTGATGGCTTCCAGCCCTGGCCTCCAGCCTGACGCCTTCGCAGTGTGGGCAGATGTGCAGCGTTTTCCTCTTGTTGGAAACTTGTTGAATGTGTCTACATTGTGCATTGTGTTGTCTTTACTTTGCTGCCTGAGTCGGAGAACATATTTTGACATCCAAAAGCAAGAAATGTAGCTGTCCCAGTGATGAACACTGCCGTTTCTCATGCAGTACTCCAACAGCAATTTGATCATCATCATCATCATCATCATGATCATCATCATCACCGACCGCAATTAATTGCAACTCTGCACACGCAAGCTCAGCTAGTGTATCAGCACTGCAGTTTTGGCTAATGTATTTTTATGTTTGTTTCCATTGCGAGCAAGGTGAAAGAAACAAGGATTGATGACCCAATAGGGACAACACACAAACCCGTAATCTTGAAATTTTAAATCGTGTAGTACGCAATGCATCAGCATCATGGCCTTTGCGAACAGGTGGGTCTATATTGCAACATGAAACCCTCACCGAGCTCATTGCCAAGGAACCCTACTTTAAAGTTAAGGCTTCAATTTTTTCAACATAAAACCGATTTCGGTTGTGTGCTGTCTGCAGCGCAGGCTTTCGCGGTTCAAGCGCGATGTTGTTATCCGCTTTGATCTTCTGCCATCTCGCCTTGTCTTCCCATGCATTTGTGCCTGACCTTCTGTCACTCGCTGTCAGGAAGTACGTAGGGTTGCGAGTAGGACTCAAATATTGCATCAGGGATACAGAAGGAATTCGGGTTTTGGGGAAGGTTCAAGTATAGGTTTTAGAGCCTTTTTCCAAGTCCATTTTCCGGGAGCTGCGTGTTTTTCCAGTTTGGCAAACATTTTTTTTGCATCGATCCCGTTTCATCATCCAGAATTGTATACTTGCCGATTAAACCCTGGGGTGTGTCAGAGAAGTACTGGTTTTCAAAGGAGATTGGGTGAATAGATCCGGAAAGATGCCTCCTGCAGAGTCCCCATTTTTAGTAGTCTTTCTGTTCACTAGCTCTTCTCCCATGACTTCAAAGCCCAAACCCGACTGTAGGGCCCTGAATCAACCCCCTGGCTCCTTCCTCAACGCCAGCAAGCGAATCCAGGTCACAATCTGCGGAAGAGCACACTTGCGCGATTTCACAAGGTAACTTGATCCCTTTCAGTGTTGTATTTATTGTTTGTTCGTGTGTGCGTTGGTTGGACTCTAGGTCTCGTCTCCATAAACAAATCGGTGCCCGAACATTTTTTAGTGCCCCTGAGGAAAAATTGACAGAGGTGCACCTCCAAACCCGCTACCCCATGCAGTAAACCACTTTGAAACCTAAACCTAGGTACCTTGAAGTGTTGGGGCGACAATCTTTACGGTCAATTGGGTCTGGGCGACAGCAGCGACCGTGGAGATCAAACCTCAGAGATGGGAGATGCTCTTCCCACCGTGGATGTAGGGATCAAATCTGCTGCTGGATGATTTTGGGTGTTTTTCTCTTCGATTTTGATGGATCCTTGGGGTTTTGTATAACTCCAAGGCTCAAACCTTGAACGAAAGCCCAGGTTTCGGCCGTTGACACGGGAATTGAATTCACTTGCGTACTCCTGGATGACCTCAACGTCAAATGCTGGGGCCGTAACTCTTACGGCCAGCTGGGCCAAGGCGACATCGCAACAAGGCGAGGTTGCATAGTTTAGCTTTTGCTGGTGGTCGGTAGGGAATGGAGAAATAGGATACAAATATCCGTATCAGTGGTTGTACAGGGACCACCACAGGGATGCATTCCACAATTCCCTGATTCCCTACGCTACCCAAAACGACATGTTTGCAAACCGCTAGATCCCAAGATTCCCAAGCCTTGAAAAAGTTTTAACTGCCTTGCTGCAGCCAGTGGGGGGTTTCAGCGTAAGTATAACATAAAGATAATTGCCAGCATAATGCGTTTTTGGGCCTTTTAGACCCCACGGTGGGTCATGATTGGGTCCCACAATCCAGTTACGAGCACCGCAAGCCGTTTAAACTGGGCATAACCCGCTTCTTTAGCCCAACTACAGGCCCTCTAAGCACATGAGTATGGTTCGACTAAAGTTTTGATTGCCTGATTACAGCCCCGTAGGCAAATATGAGTAGTTTCGGGTGCAGATCACATATATGTATATATATATAATTCCCACGTTTCCTATTTGGGTTCTAAACCGTTTTCAAGCCCCCCAGAGCCTTCGCACATGGTTATATCCGGGTAGGAGCCCCAGAAGCCCTGAATGTGAAGGGTTAGGGTTTAGGGTTTAGGGCTAAGCTTGGGCTATAAGTAGCCTGTGTTTGTCCAGGACCCCAAGTTCCTCAACATGTTAATATGTTAGTAATAACTGAATCAATGCCCATGAATATTCTGCAGCTCTGAACCCTAAACTCCAAGCCCCAAGCCCTAAACCATTAACTCTACACCTAAACCCGAAACCCAAGACTTTAAACTCTAAACCATAAATCGTGTAGGGGATGGTTGGCTGGACAAATGGGAGACGCCTTGCCACCCATCGATCTGGGCAGCAGTTCCATGGCTGCTGAAATTGCCACAGGATCCTTGATCTTTGTTTAGGGAATTTATGGGGATATATAGGGATGTAGAAGGATGTATAGGGACATATAAGGAGTGTACGGGATGTATAAGGATGAAATTGGGATATGTAGGGAAGGGATGGGGACATGCAGGGATGCATAAGGAGATCGACAAGGGAAACCAAAGTTCGAAACTACCAAATAATTTGTGCTCCAGGATGTAGGTTTCAGGATCTAGGGGGTTTACTGTTTAGGGTTTAAAGTTTACAGCCATTCTTGAGTACAGCTTGCTCAAGGGCTTGCAGGCCGTTTTAAATCAGGGCTTACATGGTTATTACCCTAAACCTTCAATTGCGAGGGGTTGGCAAAGTTTATGGGGTCTACGGTCTGGCAACGTGTCGCGCCACAGGAGCGTTCCGCGTTCAGGAACTTCAATGCGGTTTGGGATGTAAGGTTTAGGGGTTACTGTGTAAGGCGAGGTTGCGAGCTCGGCTGTGAAGCTCCCTGCCTTGTGCTTCGCTTGTAAGCTCACCTCGGCCACCCTCACTACGTTCAATCACTGTTTAACATTTTCTGCGTGCATGCGGGATGCATGACATTCCCGACAGCGCAGCACTAACCGGACGTTCCAGTTTTGCATGACGGCGCAACAATGTTTGTAGACTATACTGTGTATTTGTATTTTCAGGCTCCAGACAGTCTGACTTGGCAAATGCAATTGCCAACGGCAACGTGTCATTGCTTCGCGCAAGGTTATGTGCAAAATGCAGTGATGGCTAAGGTCTATCAACACTCTAGAATGGAATTTGCAAATTTTGCAAGCGTGTGTTACAGTCAGCGATCCGTAAGTGACCCACAAGCCGTGAAAGAACCCTTGTTGGTTCAACGCGCAAGCTGCCTCCCATGGGGAAGCTGCGTATGATTTTGGTAATGCGAACTCTTCATGCTCAAGCTGATATTATCTTTTTCTTGAACCCCCGAGATGTGTGGTCATCATGCGCCCCGATAGCGAGCCACGCTTGCCACTTCAGGAGGCGAGGAATGCTGCATCAACAAAGAGACGTTGGAAATTAGCCAAACCGTTTCGGCAACATGGTTAAGTTCAAGTGTAATGTGCAGAAGTACTACACCGTTGCAGCAGCTTTGGAGCAAGCAGTTTAAGGAAGGCGACCAGCGGCAGGGGAAGAAACTTCGGGAAATCTGCGCTGTTTTTGGATCTGGCTCATGAGAACAAGGCCTTGATCAGGCACGTTCACTCGGACCGGGAGCAAGGTTTGCAAAGGGATCGAGCGGTTACGATGGCTCCCGCACATCACGCCATTGAGCAACATCAACATAGTCATTTTGGTCGAAAAGGCCGCTTTCCTCCATCTTCGAAACTTCATGGTAGGAAGGCTATTTATGAGATAGAGGCTTCAGCTCTTGGCTGGGGTGACAGCTGGCGCCCTCAGCTACAGCTCAAAAGTTTGCACAGGCCCGGCAAACTGAAGTGGAGTATTGAGAAGCCCTGGAAAAAAGATAGCTTTGCAAGTTTCTGGGAGGCCTTTCAGAGGTACTTGGGAGAACCACGATGGTTTGAGATTTTAGGGCTATGCTACGTTATAGGAGTGGTCCGGATGGCCGAGGGTGGGCGCGGTTTGAGTTGGCCAGTGCGGGTCAATTACGTGAGGCTTTACCCTCACTGCCACACCCTTTTTCTGCCGCGCACTTGGGCTGTAAGCCCTTGGCGGCCTGCGTTCGAGGTTTGTCGCTTGACGGCAGTGTTGTTTCTCTACTTGGCCGTTGTTGATAGGGAGATGTTTCTGTTTTCCTGAATGCTGCAGTCCCATGCGGCTGCTTGCCGTGTCAGAATGATGGTGCTTTCTGCCAGATCTGCCAGCTCTACTTTTTCGACGGCTTCATGCGGATTTCAGATTTTAAGAGCAGCTGCGAACTGGCCAGACTGATGATGGTGGCTTTCGATCAACGATTGTATGAGAGAAGAATGTGCCCAAGATGTACATGCGTGTCGTATGAATACTGTTGTGGAAAGGGGTATTTGTTTGCAATGTATACTCAAATGATGCTCTCCGTATCGTTGTTTTCCATGTATCATATGGGGTTTTCCCAAAATTCATTTAAAAAGGGTCCCTGCAATGCAATTCTCTTACAATGCTGGTCCGTAGCTAAATTTCCCTCCTTTTGAGAACGGTAATGTAGGCCACATCCTATATACACCTACTTTGTAATCAGCGTTTCCCAATGATCGCCCGGGATGCAGTGGCAGACTTTGCTTTGACAGTTGTTGCTTGTGCTTTGTTTACCATCTTGTAATCGTACCGGGATTTCGAAACCCTGAAGTCTTCATCCCTGCTTGGAGCCGCAAACGCTACAAGGTTTGCTTTTTGGTATGATGATAGGCCATCCTTGCAAAGCTTTCCATATGGCATGTGGACCCATAAAAAACGGATTCCGAAATCCGAATTCGTCTAATGCCTTTAACTTCCTCCAATCATGTTGACAAAGCTTGGTATACTTGTTTTGTGCGTCGTGGTTGCAAAGCTTGGCGGAATCGTCTTCACCCAAAATGAAATGTTTCCGCCTCCGAATCGGAGATCTTTCCTGATATGTAGCGGTCCTTCAATTGAGGAGAGCAGTGTCTTGAGGTTCATTATTGGGCGAGGGGGTAAGTTTGGAGCACCTGCTGAAGCCGGAGCCCCGAGCGCAAAACACCAAGCTCGATTTTTTTCATATCCAAACATGACGGCTCAAAGCCGCACTACGCCGGAGCGTTAAACCTCACATCATGCTCAACACTGGCTGTGGTCACGCAATCCTGTGAACGCCAAGCCCTGAACCGTAAGCACTAAATTACCCTAAATCCTAAACCCTAAATTGTTGACCTTAAGCCAGAATCGGACTCATCAAGCTTCAAACTTGAACCGGAAGCTCGACGCCTTGAACCCTAAATTTTGAGTTGTAGCCCCAAACACACTAAACCATGAACTCGAAACTTCAAATCCGAAACCCATTCCTGAAACCGTTGAGCTTGAACATCCAAACCTGCCTCCACAGGACCATACCACGTATGTGTTCGGCTGACTGATGGCAAGGCCAAGTGTTGGGGTCGCAATGATCCCCGGATCCCGGATTTAGCAGGTCAAGGGATGTAATAGAGCGCTAAAGGGCACTGCGAAGTCTTCTGTCCTTGTCAATTTGCAAGAAACATGTGTCTGGGATTGGGTAGTGTATGAGAGGTGTCTTGGGAGCTATAACTGAGGAGGAATGATGGGTCAGGTACCTTGGTATTTGATTTAGACAAAGTGTTTGGGCTGGGGGTGACGATTTTTTTGTTCAGGTACTGAGGGGATTTTGGAATTTGATTTCCAACCCCCCCCCCCCAATAATGCCCTCATACTATCAGGTGACGACAATAAGACCCTTATTGTAATTCTTCTTGGGCCCATGGCACTAGCCTCCTCTTATTCCTGAACCCTAAATAAACCCTACACGTTAAACCCGCAAACCCATTTAGCTACACATATTACATGCCAAAACAAAAGCGACAACTTTGTCAAAAATTACTCAGAACTCCCGACTTGAACTCTATGCAATCTGTATAACTCCTAAACCCAAACCGTATTTTCTATTCCCAAGACTGCTTTAGGATCTCAAGCGCCGCGCTTATCATCTGATGTTCTGCGCAACAAGTGGTTTGCAGGAAGCAAGTATCACGTTATTCTTATTCCAGACGTTTTTGGGTTTAGGGCTTTCAGGCTTGAGGGTGTTTGGGTGTTAGGGGTTTAGGGTGAGGGTTAAGGGTTTAGAGGGTAATCCTATGCCTATAAATTGCACCTTCAATGGTGTTACCACCCCCTGAAGAGTCCGTTCTGCAGCCATTTTTGGATTAGGGCTCAAATTCGTCGGGTATCATTTTATTTTCCGTTTTCTTTTCTGTCAGATTCCCCATTATTCCAATTCAGGGTGTTTCATGGGGCGGGTCTTTCTATGTTACCACCGTGAAGCTTCGAATTAACAACCTTACTCTCTAGATAAACATGCTATGCTACTAAGGTCAAGCATGAGAGCAGGAAGTTGGATCATGCCTTCTCCACACATGGGATGGCCATGGGCCCCACCAATATGCCCCCCCAACAAATGAGGCCCAATAAGCCTTAATAAGCTTTGATAGTTCTCAACAATCCGGAACATGGCTGTAATCTGTGGGAGCCCCTATATGGGGGGGGAGTTGTAGTAGCCCCGTGATTCAGACTTGTTTTTAATGTCCTATTCTGTTTCTCGCAATCAATATATATCATCCAGCTACACTTTGGTTCCTAAGAAATTAAGATGGATAGTTCTTGATGTTAGTGTTTATGGACAATCTCATTTTCCACTGGAATATTCCTGTCTTCTTGTGAAAGGTGTAAGGTATAGCATGTCACACGCCTTTATGTCGTCCTTACGACGAGATGTGCAACCGGCTTAGTGTGAGCTCTGAGCCCTGGACCCTGAGCGCAAATCCCTAACTTCTGAACCCCAAACCTGCGACCACAACCCATAAACTAGAAAAATTCGGGACTCCCGTGCCCAATGCCTCGTACAGTGAGCCTTCAGCCCAAGGATATCGGTCAGCTGGGTGTGGCAGACACTAGCGACCGCGGCGACGCGGGTGGGGAGATGGGTGACAGCTTGCCTACCGTGGATGTTGGCACTGGCAGGTGGGCTTGAGGGTGTGCGATGTGGACGTAGGGTCTATGGCAGAGGGCATTGGTTGGGTTTGGGCGGTTCGGTTCCGAGTACCAATGCTTCATGTACCCTGCAGAGTATCGGTTACTTTGCCAAAGCAGCAGCTGGTAGCCGGATGATTCACTATCCGTGCAAATGAGCCATAGTTTGTTGATTTCGGACTCGAAGGGTTATTGCTGTGCCTACTCTTCCCAATTAGATACCCAGGCTCCATCTTACGCAACGAAACTCCCACTTCAGGCTGTATTATCCTGTGGAAGTACATTGGCTTAGCAAACTCAAGTTTACACCTTATTGTTGATAACGATCGTGATAATAGTAGTGATGATATCAACAATAGTAATAGTAATCAGAATATTGATAATAGTAATACTTATGACTCAAATCCTGGTATCCCAGATCTGATCCCAACCCCAAATCCAAAGTCCAATTGAGCCATTGCCATAAGTCTCAACTCCTTAAAGGGGAATACATAGGGGATTATATAGGGTAATATAGGGATTATAGGGTTTAGGGTCTAACTGCTTAAAGGGTGTTATATGGGGGATTATATAGGGGACTTCTATAGGGGATACAAAGGGGGATACTAGGAGTTAAGAATACCCTAAACCCTAAACCCTAAACCCTAAACCGTGTGGCTCACTTGAAGCCCTACACTCCCAAACCTCGGCCCATCTTCGTCTACCCAAACGCCCAGAAAGCATACTTGGAGGGTCAGGGGCGCTTCGTAAATATACATATAACCCCTCTAAAACATATAATGACCCGAGTTATCCCTGTTATTAACCTACCTAATTAGACCCCAGGACCCTAAACCCTAAACCCCACACTCTAAGTACCACAGTAGTTTCCATTGGCCTGTCCATGGTTAATAAATCCCCCCACTTACTAGGCCCCCCGGACCCTCCAAGCTAGTACTGATTTTCCCGAGACGTGACGCCTACTTCTGAGTCCACCATGCTAATTACTGTTCTGTTAAGCTGCTGTAAGCCCAATCCGAAGCCCTACAGGGTTGAGGGGTTTCTAGGCCTTAGGATTTAGGGTTTTGGGTTGAGGGTTTAGGGGTCCGTGGGGACATAGTTCGGGGCTTGAGGTTCCGGAATCACCGCTAGGAGCTGGATCTTAAATGGCAGTTTAGATGAATATGGTGACCCCAGTATAGACCCCAAAGTATTTCGCAGTCCTCACTATAGAGACCTCCAAATTTGTACCCCTAATTTTTGGAACCCCCCAAATCTACGCTTGTGAACAGGTCGTTCTCAAGGCTCGTTGAGTGAAACAGTTTCCCACAACTGAAAACACAAGAAAGGTCGACTAACTGCCTGCTACAGAGCAGGCCCCACTTCTTTCACGTCTTAAATGCTGTACTTGTTTCTGAAGAGCACTACAAATCTTATTGGGCTTTCAAAGCCAATTTCTACCAATTCGGGTCTCAACTTGAAGTTGAACCCCCAAACTCTGGCCCCCAACTCCTCGCACCGAAAGACCCCCGCCCCCTGAGCCAGGAATCCTGAACCAACTTTGAGGGTCAGGTAGGGGGACTTAATAAGTATACATCTAACCCTTATAAACTATATAATAGCCTTAATAAGTATACATCTAACCCGTATAAACTATATGATAACCCTAGTTATCGTTGGTATTAACCTACTGTTCATGGATGAAATCTTGCACCACCTAGGGGCCCTAAACTACTGTAATTCCTAGGACATTAGGGATTTAAAGTGGTGCAAGATTTCCTCCATCAACTCACGTCCCTGACCCTGCAAGAAGCCTGCCAGGACGGTGCAGCAACTTGCGGTTGGAGAGCTGCACACTTGCGCGTTGCTGGATGGAACAGATGACATGGAGAACAACATGTTTTTATGTTTCTTATGTTTTGCGAGTATGGCGTGAAGTTATGTGCAAGGGTTCGGGTATTCGGGTACAGGATGTAGGGTTTGTGGTTGAGGGTTCAGGTTTTTATTCGGGTTCCGGGTGTTGGTTTCAGGCTTCGGGTTTCAGGGTGGGCTGTTTGTTTTCGCTTTTGGGTGAAGTTTGTTCCGTTGGGTTCTAGATAGGAGAGACGGTTACCACTTTCTGAGAGTTTTAGAGAAAGCTGCCTGTCCTCATTTTTTGTTGTTCATCAATAATTTCGGAACCTTGTGCCGATACTTTAGATGGGGCTCATAGATTTAGATCGTTGCAAGGCCCCTCAGCCCTGAACTCTAGGCCGCAAGCCTTAAATTAAAACCCGAAGCTCCAAACCTGAACCCTGCAGCCGACACTGGAGTTTCGCAAAAGAGGCGATGTAAAAAGAGCCTGCAGCGTAATCTTGAAGCCCAAAGCCGGAGCCCGCAACATAGACTAGCGGCTTAGGATTTAGCGTTTAGGGCGTCATCCCTCAACCTCCACTACAAAACATCGGGATCACCCAGGGTACTAGACGATTCCAGCATCAAATGCTGGGGTTCTGCTGCCGCAGCTTGACATTTTTTTGGAGTTTCAGTTCGTGGGATTGATTTTATGGAGATGTTATCTAAAAAGCTTAATTAATGGAGATAACCTGTAACCATTCATTTGGTAACGAGTCTGACGATTTGTCTGGGGACTTCGCTCACATGCAATGGTGCTCTGTGACCTTATTGGGGATATATAGTCCTACTATAGCAAAGATATTAGCCTTTTCGGGGCCAGGAAACCCGGCAGCTAGGTTATAAAGCAGTGGCTATAAAGCAGTGGCTGTTGTGGATTGCAGCTGCTTCCGTAAGGCTTTGGTGTGATGCTTTGGTTTCGGAAGCATATGCAGGTGCGTGTTTTTGATTCTTTCTGTGGGGCGGTTGTGTTTTCGTGCAGAGATTGCCCTAGTGTTTGCTTGTCTGGTTACTTACGCTGTAATTACACAACGTCAAAGATGACTTTCTTCCATGTGGGCTCATAGTGAGTACAGAGAATACCTTGAGGATCATCAAGAGCTTGAGCTTGGATAGATTTATGGGCATGGGAGTTCCAAAGAACCCCTAAACCCTAAACCCGAGGGAAATTCCTTACTTGCAACCCAATCCCTGAACTTGGGGCCGCTTTGATGGTCCCAAAGCCTCCAAAAGTGAAAGTGCAACGGACGTTGGATAGCTCTACTCCAAGGGTAGCGCAGCTGAACATGATGAACTACACCGGATATGTGGGTATTAACTTAACCTAATTATGGGCGCCCTAAGTCTGCTAAAGGGTTTACATTATATTTATTAAGTAGAGTTTACAATATTATTGCTTCGCACGCTACTAGTAACCGGTCCCTCCAAGTACTGCTGCGCAAGTGTTTTACAGTCAGGTTGTAGGTACAATCTGATGGGTTCTCCAAGTCTGGTAGGCATGGCTATGCGTGGGTTACAGAAGAAATTTTAAGTAGGTGGCTGGCCACGCATCGTTCCGAGTATTGTGTTGCTGCACAAACTAATGTGGGGGGTTGTCACAATTATGGTCCCTTTTTGGGTACCCTAAGTATTAGGTGCCGTATTATTATAGGGAAAAAGGGACCATAATTTCGACAACCACCCATGTACATTCTTCTTGCGTGCTTGCAAAGCAAAGCTGCATAACTTGCAGGGCACCTCTTTGAGGAAGCCATCTGCAACCAGGACCTCAACTTTGCATGTAGTGTCTTAAAGCAGGCGGCTGTCTATTCCTCAGATGCCCTTCAGTTGGCGCCTAAACCCTAAACCGTAAACCCTAGAACCTAAACCCTAAACCCTAAACCCTAAAACCTAAACTTTCAACCCTACAACCTAAACCCTAAGCGCTAACCTACTAAGCAAGTCTTGTAAATTCCGGCTTTACGCATTGCAAGGTTCTTGGAGCCACGAAGGAATGAAGAATATGTGTAACTGAGGTACGAAGGTTCTTGTCGCGTAGCATCTGACAGAAAGTACATCCGACACAAAACGCAGCCTGGGGAAACTTTCCTAGATTAGTGCAGGATGTATACCTACACCTAGCCAGGGGGCTTGCTACGCAATTTCATTCAGATGCCTGACCTGAAACGAAACAATCTAATTCTAGTTTAATTCTTTGACAAAAAATGGGAAACCCAAACTTTGTATTCAGAGAGGTCAACATTCCTGAGCTGAAAACTGTACCTCCCATGATACCGGGTACCGCGGAAGCCGGGTTATGTGACTTTCAAACC